TTCATTGTTATTGTTGAGTTGTGACAGTTTTATGTAGTCTAGAAATGAGTCCTTTATTAAATATATGGTGAATAAATATTTCCTCCTGTCTGTAGATCACCTTTTTATTCCTTTTACAGGATCATTTGCAGAAAAACAGTTTTAAATGTTGGTAAAGTCCAATGAATAAATGTACAGTTCTTTTCCTTTCCTTTTATGGATCATACATTTGGTATCAGGGTGAAGACTCCTCACTCAGACCTACGCACTCTGTGGCTTTCACACCTTGTTTAGTAGGTGCTTGCAAATTTATGTAAGAACTCTTTGCTTAGGCTCAGGTACCACTGATATTTTCTACATTTTTGGAAGTTTTACACATTTCCACTTTACACTTAAGACAGTAATCTATTCTGAGTTCATTTAAAAATAAGATGTGTGGTTTATGTCAAAATTCTTGGTGTTGGTTGGAGTTTTTGTGTCTTCTTTGTTTTTGTTGGCTTACAGATGCCCACCTGCTACGAGCACTGTTTGTTGAAAAGGTTATCCTTCCTCCAGTGAATTGCCTTTGCACCTGAGACAATAAACAGCTGGTCATACATGTGGATTTATTTCTCAGTTACGTATTCTGTTTCATTGATCAGTGTGTCTATTTCTCCACAAATACTGCACATCTGGTATTACCATGGCTACATAATAAACGTTGAAATCAGGTCAGCTGATTCCCCTCACATTATTCTCTTTTATCAAAATTGTTTTTTTTTTTTTTTTTTTTTTTTTTAAATATTTTATTATTTATTTATCTTTACAGGGGAAGTGGGGGAAGGAGAGAGGGAGAGAAACATCAATGTATGGTTGCCTTTTGTGCGTCCCCTGCTGGGAACTGGCCTGCAGGGAACCGGCCTGCAACCCAGGCATGTGCCCTGACTGGGAATCGAACCGCGATCGTGTGGTTCGCAGGCCCGCGCTCAATCCACTGAGCTACACCAGCCAGGGCTCAAAATTGTTTTTAACTGTAGTGGTTCCTTTGTCTTATCATATAAATTTGAGAATAATATTGTCTGTATCCACAAAAAACCTTGCTGAAATTCTGATGGAAATTCTGTGAAGCTTGTATATAAATTTGGAGAAAATTTGTATTTTTTACCATGATGAGTCTCTCAATCCATGAAATGGTGCCTTAGTTGAATCTTTTTTGATGTCTTTTGTTAGTGTTTAATAGTTTATAATGTACAAACTCTGTACATGTTTCATTACATTTAAAACTAAGTTCTTTTTTTCTGAATAATTTTATTTAGTTATTTTTCAAGTAGTTTTTTGTCTATTTCTCCCATCCCAGCCCCCCACCCCCCGTGCTCCTCACCTCCCTCCCATTTCCACCCTGCTTAGTTCTCATCCCTGTGTCCTTCCTATTTGTTCCTCCAAATCCCTCCCCTTTTTCCCCCTTAAATTCCCTTCCCTCTCCCCTCTGGTTACTGTCCCCTTGTTCTTTATTTCAGTGTCTTTGTTTTTATTCTGCTTGCTTGTTTGTTTTGTTGTTTAGCTTCCTGTTAAAGGTGAGATCATATGGTATTTGTCTTTCAACACCTGGCCTATTTCACTCAGCATAATGCTTTCCAGTTCCATTCATGTTGTTGCAAAGGGTAGGAGCTCCTTCTTTCTCTCTGCTGCACAGCAAAGAACCTATGCACCACAATGTTCATAGCAGCACAATTTATAATAGCCAAGAGTTGGAAGCAACCAAGGTGCCTGTCAGTAAATGAATGGATCAAAAAATTGTGGTACATATACACAATGGAATTCTATAAAACTAAGTTCTTTTTAGTGATTCTGAATGGTTTTGCACTTTAAATTTTGATATCAATGTCTTTATTGCTAATATATAAAAACATACAGCTAAATTTTATATGTTTATCTTTTATTCTGTGAACCTTCTGTGCATTCATTTATCAGTTGTAGGATCTTGTTGCTGTTGTAGATTCCTTGGATTTTCTAGACAATCACACCATCTGCAAATATAATAGTTTTATTTTTTTCTTCCAATGGGTTTGACTTGCATGTCATTTCTTGCTTAGAACTTTCAATACTATGTTGAATACGAGTGTTGAGAATGAACATCCTTGTTTCCTTCCTGATCTTAAGCAGAAAATATTGTCTTTTATCATTATGTAAAATGTTAGCTTTAGCCTTTGTCTTGTCTTGTTTTATATTTTGTAGATTCTATCAAACTGAGAAATTTCACTCCTATTTCTATTTCTTTCCTAGTAGTTTTTCAGTAATAAATGGGCATTACATTTTTTCAAATGATTTTTAGTATCAATATAATCATGTGATTTTGCTACATTAGTCTGTAAATATGGTGAATTACTTTGATTTTGAATATTAAATCAGTCTTGTGTCTCTGGGATAAACCCCACTTGGTCTTGGTGTATAATTCTTTATGTGTTCCTGAATTTTATGTGCTAATGTTTTGTTAAAATTTCTCACATTGGTATTCATCAGGGAAATATGCCTGTAGCTTCCTTTTTAAATATATGTACTGTCTGGGTTAGGAATCAGAGTAATATTAACTTCATAAAATGAATTGGAAAGTGTTCTCCCCTGTTCTATTTTCCAGGAGACATTGTGTAGAATTAGTAATAATTCTTCTTTAAACCTTTGAAAAAATTTCTCTCTTGAAAGCATCAGAGCCTGCAGATTCATTTTCGGAAGTTTTTGATTATGAAACTTCGATTTACTTTTAAGACTATTCAATGATCTGTTTTACCCTGGGCGAAACACTGCCGTTTGTGTTTTGTTAGGAAACGAACCACTTCATCTACAGCTGTCAAATTTACGTGTGAAGAGTTGTCCATAGTATTCTTACTATTCTTTGACATCTCCTAGGATCTGATACCCCATTCATTCATGAAATTGGTAATTTATGCCTTTGGTTTTTTTGTCAGTTTTGGTAGATATCTGTCAATTATATTCATCTTTCTAGAAATTGTTTTTGTTTTCAATTTCATTATTTTTTCTCTTATCTTTGCCATTTCTTGCCCTCTACTTGCTCTAGGTTTATTTTGTTCTTTTTCTGTGTTCTTGATGCGGGAGTTTGGGTCATTTATTTGATCCTTCCCCCCTTTTAAATATAAGTGCTATAGGTGTTACTTTTTCTCTTATTGATGCAGAAATGTTGATTTGTTTTAATTTTGTTTTTATTAAGTTCAACATATATTTTTATTTCCATGCAGACTTACATTTGACTCATGAATAACTTCAAAGTTTGTTGTTTGCTTTTCGAGTGTTCAAATATAGTATTTTTATTTTTTGTTATCAATTTTTAGTCTGATTCAATTATAGACAGAGAACATATTCTATGTGATTTCAATTCTTTTAAATTTGTTGACACATTTTTTGTCCAAGAATATGGCCTACCATGATATATTTATCATTGGTGCTTGACAAAAATATGTGTATTCTTATGCTGAGTGTAACATATTGGGTTGGCCAAAAAGTTCATTTTCTTTCCCCATAAGAAGGCTCTAGTAGCTCTTAATTGTCTTTAACTTCATTGGAAACAATTTTGTTAATACTGTATTGAGACAGTTATATCAGTGTGCATTAAAACATCTTATCAAAATTGGTGTTTTGTGTACCATTTTAATATTGAAGGTGAAAGAAAATACACATTTTCAGTATATTATACTTTATTATTTAAAGAAAGGTAAAAATGCAATTGAAATGCCACAAAACAATCTGTGCAGTATATGGAGAAGTTGCTGTGACTGATCGAATGTGTCAAAGTGGTTTGCGAAGTTTCCTGCTGGAGATTTCTCCCTGGAGGATGCTCCACAGTCAGGCAGATCAGCTGAAGTTGACAGCGATCAAATCCAGACATTAACTGAGAACAATCAAGATCATATCAGCTGACATACTCAAAATATTCCAATCAATAAAGTTATTGGTGAAAATGAAAAATGTGTCTTATTTTATTGAAAAAATCATATGAAATTTTTGGTCAACCCAATATAAATTTCAATTATATCCCATTGTTTGATGGTATTGTTAAATTACTCTGTATCCTTGCTGATTTTTTTAGTATACTTTTTCATCAGTTGCTAAGACATGGGTATTGCAGTCTCCAACTGTAATGGTAGATTTGTGTATTTCTCCTTTCAGTTCTATTGTTTTTTCTTGCTTCAAGTGTAATATTTCGCAACTCCATTGTTTGATGCACATACATCTTGTGTCCAAATGTCTCTTGGGAAGATCGGTCCTTTCATCTTTATAAAATCTCTCTGCCTTCGGCAGTTTTCTTTGCTCTGAAGTCCATTGATTTGATAGTAATACAGGCATTTCTGCATTCTCTTGATTAATATTTATATCATATAGATTTTTTCATCCTTTTACTTCTAACTTAATTAAGTAATAATATTTGAAGTGAGCATCTTATAGACAACAAATAGATGTTACACTTTAAAAAATTTACTCTGCTGATCTCTGCCTGTTAATTGGTGTATTTAGGCCATTTAAATTTACTATAACAATGGATATATTAGGGTTTAAGTCTTCTATTAGGTCTTTTGTTTTCCATTTGTTATCTTTTTTTTTTGCATTCTCTTTTACTTTTTCTACCTTCTGGTAGGTTACTTGAACACTTTAGCATTCCATTTTGATTTATCTGTAGTGTTTTTGGAGAGATCCCCTTTTTAGTTGGTGCTATAGGAATTATTTTTTATTATGTTTTTTCTTTCAGTACTTGGAAGCTTCATGCCACTCTCTTTGTCCTCCATAGTCTCTGATAATAATTTCCTTGATTGCTAAGGTCATATTTCTTTCACTGTTTTAAAAATCTGTCTTTTTTTCAGAAAAAGAAACATTTTTAGAAGTTTGAGCATGATATTTATTTTTGTGGATTACTTTGTGTTTACCCTGTTTGGAATTTGGTAAGCTTTTTGAATCTGTGCAAAGAGTAATTAAAACTGTACTAAGATAACAGTTTTCACTTTTCAGACTATCCAAGACCTAAAAGTCTGAATGTATGGATGAGGACGTGAGGAAATAGGCAACTTTATACATTGATGATAGGATATGGTAAATTCTGTGGAGGACAACTTGAAGGTATGTGTTTAGATTGTAAGTGCACTTACTCATTAACGACAATTCTACCTCTAGTAATATATGTTATGTAGATATTTAAGTCTATGTAAAAGAATAAAAATATTACAGCATTGGTTGCTTTTGCAAACAACCTCTATGCCCATGAATAGGTGACTTGTTATACACATAGATGACTTGCATACAGTGAAACACTATGAAGCCATAAAAAAGAATGAGGAATCTTCTCACATTCAGAGATGGAATTACTTGGAAGTCATATCGGCATGTGGAAAATGAGGATTAGTGTGAATTGTATGCTATTATTTGTCTAAAAACATGAAGAGGAATATCTATTTATTTAGGTATGAATAAATCTCAACTGAAAGACATACACAGGAAATAGGAAATGCTGGCCATCTTTGGGGTAGAGCCCCTGGGGGTGGGGTAATATATTCTTTTGTGTTTTGAACTATGTATACTTTTAAGCTATTCAAAACACACATTTAAGTGTCTCCAGCCAATATTACCATATGTTAGAATGGTCCAATAAAAATTTTTCACCAGGGTTTCAGGAAGTCTGTCAAGAATATTAGAGGAAGACAGTAGAGTACAGGCAAGGACAGAAAGTAAGATAATCGTTGTAGTTATAGAAATTGAAAAGTAAGAAGTTCAGCAATATTGTTAACTAGCCAAGTTTACGGGCACTTATGTTAGGCAAATCAAAGAGTGTGCCCAAACTTTGTTACTTCTTACCTACCAGACCATGGACTAGTTCCTTAGCTTTCCTGCCTTTAGTTTCGCATGTGTAAAATGGCAATAATAGAGCCCCATGTGGTGAGGAATGACTAATAAGTTGGCGTACGTACGTGGCATGCACAGTATGCGACATATAGGAGGCATTCAGTAAAGAGGTTATTATTAGTATGTTTCTTTCTTCTATTTATAATGATACATACACTCAAATAAAATATTTAACAGGATCATATTATAAGACTCTAAAAACTGCTATACAACTTTTAGCCTTAATTTAAATTAGTATGGCCACTTTCCCATGACATTGGGAAAATGGTGAAGTACTGTGATTGATGTCATTCTTCCCCCAGACAGAGACTGCTGGGCTGTTTCTAACACTCTGGTCTTACAAATAAATGTGAGTGATACCTTACACCTACATTCTTTAAGCTTCCTCTGTAGAATATTGTCCTATATTAGATTATTATTATTCATATTTAAGCAGGCAGAAAGTTTGCTTAATAAATGAATTTTCTCTTATAAGTCAGCAAAGCTTCTGAGAAGGCTTGGCCTTTTGATTCCAGAGTGATCCATGTGAAGTGTTCCCTCTGTAGGACTACAGGGTGAAAATGGCCAGGGTGGAGAGCGTCCTGGTCTCTGCAGGTTCTCTCATCACTCTCTTTAGCTTGATGGACTGAAGGACAGAGATGCCTGTTGGCTGCGCGATGTCTACACAGCTATAAGGGTAGATCACTTGTAAGTGATCAAAACTAGGATAGCACATTCTGATAATGAGGTGGGGAGTAGAGCAATGAGCAGAGCTCAGGGCATGAAAACAGGAAGCTGCTCTGGAGTAGAATGACCACAAGAGTGATTAAGGAGCAATGTTGGGAATGAAGGGATCCCAGACACAGCAGGAAGAGCGTGGGACCACAGAGCTTAGACAAGCTTTCACAGGTCATCTGCCTCCTCCATCTCAATACCATGACTGACAGAGTAGGAAGAACCTGTGAATCTGTGTCAATCAAGAGGAGTCAGTGCTTCCCACAGATACAGACTGAGGGGTTCAAGAAGTCTGCAAGCCTATCATTTGGAAGAATTTAAAACACACAAACCAAATCAAGCAAAGCACTGCACATTAATAAAGCAAACAACCATCTATTCAGCTACTCAGAATTAAGAAGTATTTAGATTGTATTATTTTGCCTTACACCTAAGAAATAAAATATAACAGGTAAAACAGAAAAACTCCTGAGCAGCTCTTTCTTGTTTCAGTCCACCAAAATAAAAATGGCTGCTATGCATTGTAGCGGACTCCAGCAATCAGAGTCTGCTTGTTGTGGCTGACAACAAGAATAAATGCACAGGTGACAACAATCCTGTGGAGAAAAAGGGAACGGCACGGCTACTCACTCAAGGGGAGAATGTTGATGGACACCTTGGCTTCTGCCTCAAGCAGAGAGCGCCTCGGCCCTTACCTAGACAGGCTTTTATTGTTTTCCTCGGGTCTTACATCAGAGAAAGATTTATTATCTATTACATAGAATATTATTATCTATATTTTAGGTACAATCAAGGATATGAAAATAACATGCAGAGTTGAATGGCCATGAGCTGATTAGCTCTGTCCTTGGGAAAATTCACATAGGCTTTGGAAATTACCTTGAAGATAGACAACACACATTTATTGCTTTAGACCAGGGTGATAGAGTTTTAGCAAAAGTAAGCCATAACAATCTGTATGCATTTTCTAGGTCTGATTGCCATGGGAATACTGGGTTTGAAGGTCTGGCTCCCACCCACCACTTCGCTTTGTAGGTTTTCCATACAGAGCTGAGTCCCATTTGCCAGGCCCAGACAAACCCGTCCCCTTTAATGCATCGCTCACTTTCTTGCATGCTCATGTCATAATTCTGATCAAGAGGTGAAGTCTATTGAATCTGGACCTGTGACCTGCACTGACCAATAGAATGCAGCGGAAGTGATGTTTTGGGCTTCTGATCCCAGGCCTTAAAGAATCTGAAAGCTTCTGCTTCTACCCTTTGTAAAGCCACCTGCCATGTAAGAAGGCCAATGACCTTGAGATCACTATATAGACAGGAAATTCATGAAGCTGGCCTCATGAAAGGCCAGGTGCAAGAACATCAAGGTTCTGGATATGTGATCAAAGTCTTCTTTTAACCTCTTTTAGCCCCTCCCACTTGCAGCTGAATTCAGCTGAGGAGAAGACCCCATTCAATGCCATAGGGAGCAAAAGACTCCCCCTGCAGAGCCAAGTCAGCCAACAGAATTGTGAGAAAAAAACAGTTATTATTTTAAACCACTAAGTTTCAGGGTAGTTTGTTATGCAGCAATAGATAATGAAATATGCATATATATTTATGCCAATGAAATATTAACAGTGTGCATAGCAACCGCTGTTTCCACTAACGGCCAAATAAATGTCTATCAGACGAGCCCTTCCATGGATAACAATAAACAATGGACAAAATACATACTTCAAGGTAATGGAGAGTGACAAAAAAGCAGGCATATTGCGGAGGGAGAGTAGACACTTGGAAGAAAAATGAGGTTCTTCTGTTCATATCTTATCTTAGCACGCAAGCAGTCCCTTGGCTGGACCATGCAGGGCAGTTAGAGCTCTGATAGAATGTTTATAGCTTTTCTGGCTCCACAAACACAGGCTAGGGTTTGTAGCCATCACATTTGCTGAAATGTGAGAGACAAATCTTACAAAAGACAGAGACAGAGGTGTAGAGCCCGAATTCCATACATAAACTCTTCCCAAATCTCTGATAGCCGAATCACTCATGCACTGGGTAGAGTTTAAATAAACCAGCGATGGCTAAAAGAACTGAACTGAGACCTGAGCTGCTAAGAGACAGGGTTTTCATGTTGCACCCAACCATATTATCTTCTATCTTCTATTTTGTAAAGCAAACAAAACCCCTCAGTCTTTGAAGACTGTAGCAGAATCTACCATCTCCAAAACATAACATTTTCAGTGAGTGTCCAGGAAATAACCACAGATGACTTGATACATGAAGGAAAAGCAGCATGAGACACATCCTCAGGGGAATAATGACTGTGGCAACGGCAAAATCTAACAGTTAGTGAATGCTGTCTGTTTCTGGCCATATTCTGTATACTTTCACATCGCTTCTGTGAACCCTCATGGCAACCCTGTTATGTCAATACAATAACTTTATCGGCAATGTAGAATCATGAAAACAGAAACCAGTCAAGGTATTTTAGGCAAAGCAAGAATAAAAATATATGTGTATATAACTGAGCTACTCAGTCATTAGAACTAGAAACCACCTCCACTGAAGAAAAATCTCCTTGTCTGCTGCCCCCTCCCCCCCTCCTCACAGCATCACTGACACTGTGGGTGTCCATCACTGGAACCCTACTTGTAAGGAGGTGCAGGAAATATAGTTTCTACTCATCAAGTCCTTGTGATACAGGGGAGAAGTTAGAATGTCAGGGGTAGTGTACAGATAAATAGGGACAGACACTATTTGCAAAATGGCCATTACTATTTTACATTTGAGGAAAGAGCAACACAGAATTTTAAGGCGCTTTCCCAAGATCACACACCTTAAAGTGGATAGCTTTCGAACTCAGAAAACTTAACTCCAGAGGTTGTGTTGTTAATCTAATGGGTAGTTCCCTTGCTTTCAGTTTTTTACAATTATAATGAAAAGTCAAAGAGAATACATTTATCTAGAGGATGATCATTTAGATGATGACTTACAAATAATGAATGTTAGCATTCCTTAGATTTTCCAAACTGTGATGCTATAACTGAGGCTGCCATCTAATTTCAAAGCCCATATTTGTGTTTGTTTTTTTATAATTATGTCGGTGCCAGCTCATGATGCCAAGGGAAAGCATTTGACTTCCCGTGTTGGTAAGCAGCTTTGGACGGCACATCCTACTGTCAAAATGACAATAATGACAATACTTCTGCATCTGTCATTGTATTCACTGGTACTTCAGCATTTATAATGACAAAAATCACTCTATCTCAGCAATGGGTTGTAATCAAAAGGTATTTTCATGGACCAAGAAATTAATTTATTGACTTAATTGATAAATTAAGAATGGAACTTGACATCAGGAAAAGGATTCAGTGAAGGGGAGTGTCACTCTATCTTAAACGTTGCTGGCTAAGGAGAAAACTGTGCTGCTGAAGACTTTATGATAAATGACACATCTCACAGCCACATGGCTCCATGACAAGCTATAGGGACAAATGGTTCTCAGCAATTGGAACAGGGGAAATT